ACTGCACCCCACGGCATACCAATGCGATGCGGTGCTCGCTTCACCACACTACATGCTAGATTAGATCTACTTTACACGCTACGATCACCTCACCTGCATTTAGCCTTCCACATCACCCTACTGAGTCGAGTGGCAACGCATGCTGCTTACACAATTCGCTGACCTGGATGAGGAAACAGTCGCATATTAATGACGCGAGCACACGTGTTTCTCCACCACGTACATCACAGCCACTCTATGGAACGGTGAGGGCTAGATCGAATGAAAGCCTTCGACCGGTTGCGAACGATGCTCGCATTTGAACGGACTATGGGCACGCTGATCGTGGTGGTTGCTTAAATGCATCCACTTCCCCCACACATGTCAGTTTGGGAAGATCAAAACTACACCAAGCCTTGTGCGCATGCGAGGCAGTGAAGTGCAAAACAACTCGCACGAGGCGACCATTAGGACGTGGCAATTAGCACTCAACAGTACAACAAAGTTGAGTGTGAATGGAATGTGGTCGGTTGTGAGCGAGCAAATGTTTTTGTCTCTACTAACAATCACACACACACACACACCTTCTCAAATCCGACCTCCCAATCCCGATGCTGAAGGTAGTCGTGCAGAAGACTAGGGAGAAGTGCGCAGATTTGCATCTCAGTGCCTGAGTCAAGACCCATGGTCGGCGGTGCTCCGTCATACCTCTTCACCAAATCACATCTACGTATTCTGCACTGAGGCAGCCAGACACTGGCACAGTGATGACCCAACTTATTTCCCTTCTCAAAAGTCATTGCACTAAGCATTGCAGAGGAAGTGATAAAGCAAAAGCCTCTGTCGCCGTTGCAAGAGGGGAGTTGTAAAGGTGCACACCACACCGTGTGGTCGCCGAAAGCCGCAAGCACAAGCTTCGTTGTGGGATGGTGACGTGGAACACTGCACCTTCGCCTCCACCCCACCTCACCCCACCCACTCACACACCCACCTACCCACTGACACACCTACGACCACATTTGACCCACTGCATGATGACTTTCAGTGCATGGACGGCAAAGACCATAGCGGTAGCCAGGATACCAAGAGTTGTCACGTAGATGACGTGTTGCATGCACCAAAATGATTTGGACACAGAGATTAGACGCAAAGTAGAGAGGAGGAAATCAATAGCAACAACATTGCAACATGCAACAAAATGCCATTTATTTTACCCTGCAATGCCAAGGACCGCTGCGACTACACGGTTTCCGACACATCCACTTCCATCTTTGAGAGCGCCTCAAAGGCCAACGAAGTCTGGTACGACGATGCAGCCAGCAGCACCGAAGAAGGCATCATC